AGAAATTTTGTATTTTATCTGACGTGACGTCATATTTACACTATCAGGGCCTCTATCTACCACCGGTGGGACAGGCCCTAAATATTTTAAAGTACTAAAATATAACTTATCTACTTTAAAGAACTACGTTTCTACATCTAATGGGCTATCGCATCGATCTCTTGGCTCTTCATCCTGTACAGAGGTAGAGGGTCTCATTAAATGTATTGCGATAGAAGTATCTTGGAACATATGTTGGACTAATTCCTGTGAAATTTGCGGATTTTGTTGCAAATCTGTATGAGGAATCCATAGTCCTGGCTGCAAGGCGTTTGTCTGCGGAGAGGTCGGTGGTAGTGTAACATCCTGCGGTGGTGTTATAGTCGAACATTTCTCTCTTCGCTCTCTCGCTCGACGGTTTTGAAACCAAATTTTTATCTGGAAGAAATATTAGTTTTATAGAAAACAATGAATAGCAAGTATGAAATAAGTACATCGAATTGACTCATTGGTCATTGTTCGCGATTGTTGTATTATCATAATTAACGAATAAATTGTAGACGAATTTCATCACTAAAAATATGTTTACTCTATCATCTCGTAACTGCAACGCTGCAGCGAGAGCGCGCAGTGCGGGCGGTGCGAGGTAGGGGGCACGGGCGTAGGCTGCCTCCAGCGCCGCCGCCTGCGCCGCGGTGAACGGCACCCGCGCGTGCCGCCCCGACCGCCGCACGCGGCTTGTAGAGCTCACAGACCCTGACAAACACACCATACTTAAAGGATTTTAACTAGGTATGATAGTAGAGGATAGATAAGAAGAAAAATCGACTTGCAACGCAACTTGTTAGGAATATTTTGCGATATGAAAAATGTAACTCCTTATAAAATTAGATTAGCAATTTTACAGATACGTAAAGTCTATAAGTTAGTATTCGAAGACGAGATATGTTCGTAATGTGGCTTTACATGTTCTATAAATCGATTTTTTTCCTAAAACGTAACTTACTTGGTAACCGCGGCGGTCGGTATCGCGTGCAGATCAGCCAGCTCGGCATTGCCTCCTCGCCAGACGTAGCTTCACCTAAAATCCTTTTTATACTAAAATCCGAATTGCACTTAGATTCTGAATGACACGAAGAATCCATGACGTTTGCTTACTCCTGACAAGATACGTTTAAGCCAGTATCCCAAGTACACCACCTTTAAAGGGTATGTATTACAAAAGAAGGCGGGGTTACTATAGCCCCGCCTAACGAACCCCGAAAATTTAGCGACCCTTGTATCCATAGATGTTATCACATACCACAATCATTGGGGGCACGCACCAATGAGTTTTTAAATATTGTGACGCCGGCTCATTCATACGTACTTTGGATATAAAAAAAAAGAAATGGATACAGTCTGTACACAATAGGATGTTATTAGTTTAAGGGCATGTGGGAAAATTAATTTGTAATACGCATTGTATTACTTATTGTTCGAGATAATATGTAAAGTGATATGTTGCGAAAATAAATTGCTACTTGATTTGATATCGATGATGTTGGTTTTAAAATACGACAAAAAAGAACGATTGAGTAATTTATTAGAAGGTTCCGAAAGAGAAACATCTTTGAATGAAATTGAATGGATAAGGAATAACACCGTTGAAATACTAGCTCGTATTACTGCGGTAGAAAACAAATCAGATATGCGATTTTATAATGATTCCTGTAAACAAAATAGTACAACAACCATCTCCGTTATTTTGCAATGTGGCAGTAATTCGCTGCAAGCCATGTTAACCACTTATCGTCCACCGTTTAGATGTCACTGGCAGATAGTGTAATCACTGCACGCAATGCTCAAGTGCCACATTATTTTATTGTAATACATCTGACCACAAAAGAAACAACTTTACAAAGGAGACAAAATGGCCGGGTATTCAACAATGCTTAATGTATCAGAAGCTTTTGAAATATATTTAAATTTACTTGCAGCTGCAGAAATAAAATAATAATAATAAATTGTCAAAGTTTATTTGTAGCTAACTCTTCAATTAAACTTCGAATTGTATTTCTTATGAACGGATGCGACCTACAACATGTAGGTATTTTACAATTAATTTCTAAGAAAACTTGCTATGAAATTTCTGTATTTGTAAGTTTTAAATAACCTTATCTTATAAATATTATAAATTCGAAAGTTTAGATGGATCGATGTTTGTAAAGTTTGTAGCCTAAACGGTTGAACGGATCTCAATGAAATTTGGAATAGATGTAGAGGATAGTCTGGAAGAAAACATAGGATACTTACTTTTGATTTTTTTAATTCCACGCAGACGAAGTCGAGGACGAAAGCTAGTTTTAAATAATCCTTGACTCCTGGGTAAGAACAGGATAGTGCGTATATAAGGTTATTGAATACTCTCAGACACATACGATGTTTTTTACAATTACCAGAAGTTAAAAACAAGACTACGGACATCAAAAGGTTTAAATGGTATTACAGACTTGAACGGAGCTAAAGGACGATAGGTGATCAAGCATTCAATACTAGTCAACCTTGAGAAGTGACGTAAGTGTTGATACAAAGATGTGTCTACAAATTTGGCAGCCGTATTGTATTGAAACTTGAACTTTGAACCTTTAATCTAATATTTCAGCTTCATTGTATCAGTCGAACTAAACTCCTTCCGTGGGTCCTATGTTGTTTTCACCGACTTCATTCTAGAGTATGTTCTCTTGGACAAACGTTCTTTATAATATTAGTAATATAAGCCATAATGTAACGGAAAGAATCGAGTCGTGGATAACGGTATTCCGGGGCCCTGTAACGTTAGTGCCACCATGATTTGACTAATTGAAGAGATAAAAATGTTTCTTAACACTTTTTCTCATAACAAAGTTCGATAACGGGATTCCTACTAAAATTGATTTTTATAATGTTTGTAGTAATTTATACGATATACTTAGTTAATTTTAAGCAAACGGTGGAAAATATTACTAGATTCAGATGTATCTTATTAAAAAATCAAAACATAAATTGTATGACTTTAATTTTATTTTTATAGATGTTACATATTTGTCAGACAAGATAATAAGATAATGACTACGTATACAGGACTATCCTACTTAAAGAGACGTGTTCCGAGCTATAATTCAAGCCTGCACAAGGCTGTTGCGCCGGTTAGGAGGCAGTGCGCCGGCAGTACGCTCTCATTGTGTTTACAATCGCAGTTCATTAAACACGAATACAAATACATAAAAAGTAACATTTAAATCGTAGTTTTGTTGCTTAATTTTCTACACTGTGACAATATTCCAACAATGTCTATTCCGGAATCTTTTGTGCTGACTGGAGGTGATTTGTTGCCGCGAATCGGTTTTGGAACTTGGCAGGTGAGTTTTTTAGATGACCTTAAGTTGTTTATGTAATTATCATATAAATATATCTGCATGCTATCTTATATTCGTATAACAATTCATACATACAATACAAAGGAACGTTGTAAATAATGCGGAAAGTAATAATGAATCTTTGTATAGTAGCAGAGTTTGAGTATGTGTACTGCGACATTTCAAAACAATTTAATGTGAATGAACTCGTGTGAAACGGAATTGTTAATGCGTAACACTTTTTAAGCAAACAGTTGCCCGGCTACTAAACCATTAAGTGAATAAATTTTATTTTTTCCCTGTTACAACTGACGATTGTTTTTCCTCTAGCTCCAACTGTACGCAGTCGTTACTCTCTTCATTCTCCATGTATTTTTCGGGATGTTTTCTGTTTATCTTCGGACATTCGGTTTTCTTTAATTTGATGTAGCGTTTGAAACAACTCTTTATCACATCCCATTTAGATTTATGAAGTCTGGTCGATGAGTCTGCAATAAAGATGGGTCGGCTACAAGTTTCCGCATGGTATATCTGTTCGGAGCAATGAGACCAGCCGTCGCTGCAATAGGAGTACGATTCCTCACAGTTCCCATTCGACCCCGACAATCCCCTTGAAGTCGACGCATGACAATTTGCACTATCGTTAGAGCATTTTTCTTCAACACTATCACTACAATACATTCCAGAAGTAGACATCAGAAATGGATGTTTTCATGTACATTAACTTAGTAAATTTTACATACATTATACACAAACATAAATACGGAAAATATAAGACAGATCTAGACTGACTTTGGCCTTGTCAAACATCAGTGACGCTAAGTGTAATTATGTTCATAAAAACTCGATAGAAAAATGTCTTCTCTATGCACTATATGAAAAATGTATTTTTTTTTAGCTCAAGGATATTATTTCCTTAATCCCCCTGCCCCTACTACCTGACTGGTGTATTAATAAGCCATACAGATACTAACCAAGTTCCCGGATAAATTTAGTAATTAAATGTTTGAAATAGAAGATAGCAAACTAATTTATGGTTTACTTTGAACTCAATTATCGCTTAAAATTGTTAGTTAAACATCACTTTTACCATACAATGATAATAAAGTCGTTTACTAAATTGCAGTTTATATTATCAGAATTTACCAGTTGTTTCTAAACGCAGTACTATTTACAAGGACAGACACGTATTTTGCGTTTGAATGTAATAATCCGGCAGCGTTTCAATCAATTTGTACTCCAATTAGATTTAGGTTTCCTCTACCGCTTAAAAAACGTTGTTGAATGACTTTTTGTAATCGATAAAACGTATTGAAGTTCCAAAAAAAATTATTTCCTTTGTTATTATATCTCTCTTTTATATAAGTAATGTTGCATTTTGAAATTGATCTATCATACTAATATTATAAATGCGAAAGTTTAGATGGATGGATGTCTGTTAGAGTATGTAGCATAAATGGTTGAACGGATTTCGATTAAAATTGGCATAGATGTCAAGGATAATCTTGAAGAATGCATAGGCTACTCACTTTTATTTTTTTTTTAATTCCACGCGGACGAAGTTGCAGGCAATAGCTAATGAAATAATAATTTAAGACTCTCTATGTTTTTATATGATGACAAGCAACAAATTAACTATAATGACTTATGTAAGGTTAATGTTTTTTTCGTCTAGTACGAGTTAGCACTGTAGAATCCTCGATGCATTATTAACTTTGCAAACATTACAAAAGCGTGACTTGCAAAATAATTTCTTAGAATTTATTTTTACCGTCTGTGATAAAGTTAATCGACTCTTAAATTCAAACATATTGAATTTCAAATTATTTTCGATTATAGTGAAACTAAGAAGTTTATTTTATGTTATTGCCTTCTGAAACACAGCTAATTTAGAGTAAACATTTTGGATTAAGAAGCTCCAAGTTTTGGACTGAGCAAAGATGGCGCCGTACACGGAAAACTCTTATTGTAGGAGGCCAAGGCCCGCTATGGGTCGTTGGTCAATATTTAATAGTTAGTTAATTTCTTAGTTGTAACATTTTTTATCGTAACTATCAATTTTGTAGGCATCAGATGATGTACTAGAGCCCGCAGTAGCAGCGGCTCTTGAAGCTGGTTACCGCCATTTTGATTCTGCGCGTGCCTATGAGAACGAGGCTGCGCTCGGTCGAGCTCTCAATCGTTGGATCGGCAATGACCTTAACAAGAGGAAGGAACTCTTTGTCGTCACCAAGCTACCACCAGGAGGTAAGTTAACAGACTTTACACAAGTTTTACACTTATACACGGAATTACTGTTTATTTTATGGAGAAAAAAATGGTACATGTGAATTTTGCAAAAAAAATGTTGAAGCCCAATTTTCGGGTTTTCTTTTTGTGCTGTGTAGATTGTTAAGATAATTTACTATCATTTTAACGAACTTACGCTAGATGTTTTACAATAGTCCCATAGCAGATTAGCCTGAATTCGAATTTGTAGTTCTGAGTTTGCATAATGATTTCTAATGATTCATTTTTTTCTAGGAAACAGGCCGGATTTAGTGGCGGAGTATTTCAATGCTTCGATGCGTGACCTCGATCTGGACTACCTCGACCTGTACCTCATGCATACGCCATTCGCATTTGAACACGTCCCTGGCGACCTGCATCCTATGAACCCTGATGGAACCATCAGAGCAGACCTCACCACAGATCTCGTTGGAGTTTGGAAGGTATCGCTTATTATCTTCTTTTGTAACAAGTGATGAGCCTTTTCGGATTTTTAATCGTTCATAAAAATATCATTTAGGTTAGTTTCTGGTAACCTTGCGTTTATAACGACTATTCTTGCGATATTTAAATTACCATTTTTATACGTTTCAATTACATTTTCAATGCCATTTTGATGCCCTTTGCCCCATAGATAATATACATTACCTTCATACTTTTTTAAACTTAAAAATATATTTGTACTTTTTGCATCCTGTCCACTGTCAATTTGACACCATCAAAATTTTTGATACTAAAAGAAAGAAATCCAAAATGTGCAAACGAAATTCTTGTTTATACTAGCATTTACAAATAGACTTTTATAGACTTTTTGAAATTTAAATAATGGGCGTATCTTTTCCCCATTATGGCGCCGGTGAAATGACCACAGAATATGTCATGAATCAGTTTAAAAACGATTCCGTTTACAAAGAATGCTGCTATCCAATAAAAGAACTAAAGCAAAAACAACATCAAAGAAAAGATAATATTTCGAAGATTTTCAAAAACGATCAAATAATCAAAAACATGAATAATACGAAACTAGACAATAATTTCTTATGGACAAAAGTGTATAGGTCGCCTGTTCCAAACAAGCAAATCGACGAGCCGCAAAATGGAATCGATTCGATTTGCGAAAGTCTTATATCGAGACAATCAAACAAAGCCAGTAAAACGGCTAAAACATTACACGACACTTTTCCACAGCTATTTGAAACACAAGCTTCGATCGCTTCTATAGTAAATACCAGAACGACAATGAGTCAATCTGCGTCCAGTAAAAAGAATTTATTTAATAAACTGTCAACTAAAGTACTTTGCCCATGTTGTACTGGAGGAGATGACGGAATAGAAAATGCGCGGGAATTTTACGATCGTCATAACGCAACAAATTCATACGAAACTATCGATTTATCGAAACCTAGTGATTACAATGTTGAAGGTTCAATAAAGATGGATACATCTCGTATAAGTACTGAAAATCTCCACAAAGAGGGCTTGAGCGATAAGAGGAAATGCAACAACTATCAAAAAGTCTTTAAAGCCATCGCTTCTAACACTTATAAGAATTTAATTAGTTTATTTCATGCAAAATAAAATAACTAGAAATAAATCTGAAATACAATAACCAGACAATGCAAAATCTATAAAATTGTAATTCAAATTATATTACAAAAATAACTATTCGACAGAACCATTGTCAATACTTTTAATTATACTTTATTAGATTAGATTAAATAAGTGACTTTAATATCTAAATGATTTTATTAACCTTCACATGTAACGTTTAGTAATTTATTATTTCTTTCAGCTAGTTTGCTTTAGTACATTTTACACCAAATAACGTATTACTTAGATATAGATTTGGGGTACTTGCAAGAAAATATTAGCAATGCCAATAAAATCTAATACAACTTCAGTCTATCTCCTTTGCTTTACAAAACTAACCTTACTAAATTACCAAACTTAATATTTTTTCTAAACAGTTTTTTGTTGCAATTGCAACAATCCTTCATAATTATGAAGGAAGTTCCGTAATGTTTGGGATGACAAAAAGAAAGTATTACATATTTTATAGGTATTTTAGTTTTATGTTTTTTGTTGATACTGCATATTAAAGTAAATTTATTCAATAAAATAAGTAATTAACATCAATTCAGGCGATGGTAAGATGAGAGTAAATTAATTTTAAACGCTTGTTTTTCAGCTTCGTCATTTTTTAAATAAATTTCCCCCGGACCGCATATTTTATTCACCGGACGCACCGGACACAAGATCTTTGAATTTTGCTGTTTAGCTTGCATATTTAAAGGTTTTTCTTTACCTCGGACTCTACTATAAATACTAGATACAGTATCTATAGATGTATGGCTAAATCTCTCGGGTACGTGAAGTACTAGAACATGATTTTTTTTTATCTTGTTTGTTAGTTTTGTTTTCGATTGCTTGAATCTGCGGATTACATTGTATAGGAAGACGTGGATGGTGTTGGGTTGTTTGGCCTGATGCCGCCGCCGCCATTCCACGTCAAACATGCTATTCACGGAAGACATTTGTGACATGGACCTCGTCAACATGTGCGAGATAATCTCCATACTGCAGTTTGAGTTCAAGCTGTACTGGCATCCAAAGTCTATTGAATTAATCTTTGCAGCATTTTGTGTAGCAACTAACTTCATTCTTTCGTTATTCTTTATCATAGATGCATCTCGAATATTTTTTGTACCTTCAATATTTTTCGATTTGAAAACTTTCTTCTTAAGAATTTTCTTTTTTGCTTTTTCAATTATTTTTTTAAATTTCAAAGGAAATTCTATAGAATACAAGTCTTTCTTACGCATCGGAGGTAACAATTTTTCTTCACCAATGATAGAGATTCGTTGTTCATTGGAAGGTTTTAAACTTTTTGACGTTACTTTGCTTACCCCGGGTTCTTTGAATGTGTCTACTTCAGTACAACTTTCATCGGTCATATAATCTCTTGAATGCATTATAGTGGTTAGCTTAAGTTATTTGTTACGTGATATATCGATACATGTTTCAAGCTACTTTTATTCTTCTGGTACTTAGGTAGTTTAATGTAATCCACATTTTTGTACTTTCGTTAAGTTTCATTGTGATCTGTATTATAACCGGTAATTGTTATCTTCTACGTCGTCCGATGCAACCGCAATAAAATATATCTATAAAAGAATCCAATGCTTTTATAACTTTATTGGACCATCGTGATCTTTGTATCGGTAGATACTTCTTCAGTGGAGGTTTTAACATATCTGTAGCTAGTTGTAAGTCATTCTATATTATACTGAATGCTTTATAGATTGTCTATTTATTGTTACATAGATTATTGTGTTGACGCCATTGTATTATTATGTTATTTAGTAGAAGATTAAACATCTACATTTTTGATAATACAATCAAAATGTCACTTTTGGCGTCATCTGTTACAGGTGTGCTCATATTTGAAAGAATTATCTATGATTGTCATAGACGTTTTAGAATCTTACAGACAGTAAAAATCCATTGCTATTATCCCGATCACTACGGAGTCGAACAATGCACAATTTGACGCAGGATGATGACGACGATGATGTCCTTTTACAGGCGCTACTCAAGCTAAAGGAGAGCGGTCGAGTGCGTCACGTGGGCGTGTCTAATGTGAACGAGGCGCAGCTGCACCGGCTGTGTGCGGTGGAGAAGCCGGCCTGCCTGCAGATAGAGGTACACTTGCTGTGCCAACAGAGGGAGCTCATCGCCGCAGCCAACAAGCTCGGTATACCCATCGTCGCGTATTCTCCACTCGGCTCAAAAGCTCTCGCAGATGCGTTAGCCGCTAAAACGGGGTAAGACGCAGTAATTGACCCCACAATTTGCTTAGTTAAAGGACACATTAAAACTTGAACGGCTATTCATTTGTTTTCCTGTTAATTTTAAAGGCGCGAATACCCAGACCTACTAAAGTTACCAGCGGTATTAAAAATAGCAAAAAGCCACAACAAGACGCCTGCCCAAGTGCTACTGAGACATCTGCTGCAGAGCGGAGTCGCTGCCATACCTAAAAGCACCAATCCAGAGAGAATCAAACAGGTTCGTAGTAAAAGAAAACAGATAATTTTACATTTATTTATGTTAATTCATTCAGAAATGTATTGATTAATTATATTATTTTTCAGAATATCTCTGTATGGGATTTCGAACTGTCAGATGAAGAAATGTCAGATTTGCGCGCGCTAGACCGCGGCGAGGACGGACGGATATGTGACTTCTCTTTCTTTAAAGGCATCGAGAAGCATCCGGAATTCCCCTTCAAGAAATCGTGAAACCATTTCAATACAAACAATACATTGTTCAATATATAACTTAAACACCATAAATATCGTTGAAAATATTATTATGAAGCACTAAAATCTTTATTGTTTTCAAACACTTACTACTTAAAAAAAAAAACAAAAAAATTTCGTGATCCTATTTATTTGTACTCATATTCTAATCCTGGATGCGTCTGTCATTGTGTACAGAAATACAAAATCGCAGTATTAAACGTACCGTCACGCAGTTGTATTTCTCGAACATATTTAAATTAATGCACATTTAGTTTGAATAATAGGTAGGAACTTTAATTTGAACAATGGCCTTTAAATGAAACCAACCTTTAAACTGTAATTAAACGTTAAAAGCGAATGTACTATATACAGTAAGCTGCGTACAGTCGTTATGGTTTACATTTGGACAAACATAATTTATCAAATCGCAACTCAAACCCATGTCTCCATCATACATTGAACTCGTTATTGGTCAATATCAATTTAAGCAACAGAAAATTAGAATAGAATCAACCTATCCATACTATTATTTAGCAGTTGCAATTTGCGTTAACACAATAATACAAATAATAATTAGAATTCATTTATTTCAACTTTCATTAACGCAAAGTTATAAAAATAATTTTAAAGTCCCATTGTCATGTTAAATAATTCATTTATTTCTGTTCCGTTAATATTAAAGGGAATACGTTTCCTTTTCGTTTAGTTATTCCAAGACTTTCTACAGAAATGGACGTTTTTCGTCGTTAAAATTTCTAATAAATATCAGTTCACGTTAAAAAGAAATATGGCGTTGATTTTAAAAGGAGCCGTTAAATTGTATCATTATCTAAACTATGATATTGCTGGTATGTGAAAACTTTGTGTATTATTTTTGCTGTATCTAAACTCTACTTTTTCTATAACAATTATTGTTAATAATCAACTAAAGTTTGACTGACACGCGATTTTTTTCTGTATTTCTGTACTTTCATTCAGTGTTCCATTTAAATTCTATTTCTTTTGTTATAATTTTTAGAAGTGACAACAAAAGACTGGCCACTCATGAGAACGCCATGGCCAGGTTTGCTCCTCATTGCGATCTATCTAATGACCGTGTGCCGTTGGCTACCAGACTATATGAAGGATCGCCCAGCATATGACCTAAGGAAAACTATTGTTTTATACAATATCTTTCAAATTATATGCTGTGTTTATGTACTTTACCAGGTGATTATTGAAACTTTCGAAAAATGTTTTGTAAATTCATATTTATCAAAATATTAAATTCAAAACATCTAACATTAATAAACAGTTAAATAATATATCAAGCGATAAAAAACGTGAGTTTTGTAGATTATTAATTCATGTATCTATATGAGTTACGTTTTGTATATGTATTTTTTTCAGAGTCTAAAATTAGGATGGTTAACTCGTTACCGTATCGTTTGTGAACCTGTAGGTGACGGACCTGAGAGTCTTGATTACGCCTGGAAAGTTTGCTATGCCTATTTTATTATAAAAGTAATCGATCTATTAGATACGGTATGTTTCTATAAAGTAATTTAATCTTAATAAATAAATTGTCTATAAACTTATGTATTTAAAAATTGTGCAATTACAGGTATTTTTCGTCTTAAGAAAAAAACAAAATCAAGTGTCCTTTTTACATGTGTACCATCATTTCGGAATGGTCGCAGTCGCCTGGGGTATGGTTAAATGGGTACCAGGTAATAACAAATCTATACTAATATTATAAAGAGGAAAGATTTGTATTTTTTTGACCGACTTCCCAAAAGAAGGAGGTATTCAATTCGACGGTATATTTTTTTTTTTTTTTTTTTTTTTTTTTTTTTTTTTT